ATAAATTCAAAAAATAAAAACAAATAATGCAAATAAAATTGTTGCTAAGAAAGGTTAATTCTTTTTCGAAGATCCACAGCCATTTTGAAAATTCTTCAAATATCAAATATGCCAATGCGCCTGCGTATAATATATACGCGCCTGCGTATAATATATACGCGCCTGCGTATAATAACCTGGCGCTTTTTAGTAACCGTGAGTTTTCCTAAAGATAATGTAGGTACGTGTGTAAAAATTTTAAACCATTTATTCATTTAAGTATTATATATGGTTCGAAAGAGCTTTGAATTTATATTAAAATGGTGAAAATTTTATAAAAAACGAACAATTACAAAAAAAGTTATGCTTATTTAAGTAACATTATTTTTATGAAGGATTGCTTAGGAAAAAGTAAGCAATCCTTCATAACATTTTTAAAGTTAATAACATTTTTAAAAAAGTTTTTAATATAACAAAAATTTTTTAACAATTTAGAACAAAAATATTTTTAATGATAAAAACCTAATATAAAAATTTATAACAAAATTTTAAATAAAATATCGTGTATTTTAACGAAATTTACAATAAATATATATATATATATATATATATATATATATATATATATATATATATATATATATATATATATATATATATATATATATATATATATATATATATATATATATATATATATATATATATATATATATATATATTATACATAATAATGGTTAAGGTTATATATATTTATGTTATTAAATATGTACGAAGGCTAGGTTTTCTTTAGCGTATAGATGAACTTTAAAGACATTTAAAGCCTTAGCGTTTTCGCTTTCTATTTATGCTTATTTTTGTCTTTTTCAATGAAAGATATATATAGATATAAAGATATATTTTGCCAACTAAATAAACAAAAAATTCATTCACGGAAGGGGTCTCACCTCCCTCTTTCATGGCCGTCGACACCATAGTGGGCAATGCCTCCTCCCCCACTAATTGCTTCGAGGACCTTTTTTTTAGAAATATAGGTTGTTTTTTTTGAAATTAGGGAGTTGGCCCCCCTCCCCACTTTAAAGGCCGTGTCAATTACACCATATAGTTTAACTAAAAACCTACTATTAAAACACACTTCTTTAACAAAAAAATTTCTTTTTTGCTTAGTAATGTTTTTAACAGAATTGTGGCTTTGAAAAAAGCCTAGATTTTGAAGCAAACAAAACTGTGACATCCATAGATAGAAAGAGTCGATTCTTTAGTACGCAAAAGAAAGCACATCCAATGACATCTAAAATAAAGAAAAAATTTCTCAAAATTAATATCGCAATACCTATTTAATAAGGATGCCCTATAGCTCGGATAATAAATAATATATAACTGTTATTACTGCATTAATAAACATAATAAACCTCTAAATAAATATGATCTAACCGCTTTAATCTTGATATGAAAAAGATCAACACCCATTGAAGCAACCATGTAGTTTTCATCATGTTGTTTAACCTTGCAATAAGAAAAAATATACCAGATATAGAACTTTAAAAAAAATAAAAATTAAGGCTAACAATTAACTAATGTATAATGAATTAACATTTAACTGTAATTACTGAATTAATAAATATAATCTTGAGGTCTTTAACATAAATACCCACAGTAGCAAATTGCTATTATTGTTATAACCTTGCAATAAAAAATAAATAAAAATGCATTAGATATTTAGCACCATAACTGAAAAACCCATTACAGATTACTAAATATGAGAATGATTTATTAAATTAAAAAAATTCAAAATCACTTAACTCCTGATACACAACAAACTTCCCATTACCAAACAAAAAAATCGATAGTCGACCCTTTCATACTGTTTAACCTGAAATATAAAAGATTTGATTAAAAATTATAATGAAGAAAAAGTTATCTGGTCATTACTCTCTGGTAATGGCAAGCAAATAAATAATAAATAAAAATTTTAATTTTAAAGGGATTTATTGTAATGGAACACTAACATCTCTCAATCCACGCAAGCGAAACTCTCTTAGCAATTTGCTTATGTCAAAAAGTAAATGAGCTTTGGTTTCCCATAGCACGTTGCAACCAGGTCAACCCTGGTTGTTGGATGTCGGTAACTACCCGACTACCTAAAATTAAACTTCTATATAAATATATGTATATAAAAAAATAAATTAAAAAATTATAAATCTTTTCATAATACTACAAAAAAAGGAAGGAATTAGATATATATTAGGCATTGCAAATTTTATTCTTAAAAAAAAAAAAAGAAATTCACCTACTATGTGTAAATAATATCTGTTAATGCAAGTTTATAGGACATACTAATACTTAAAATAACATATACCTTATTATTACACAATTCTGTTATGTTATCACCATATCACCGCTTATTATGTCTGCAGAAAGTTGATATTTGCTCATATCATACTCAACACCATCATCATCTTCATTTTCTTTTGGTTTCCAATAGCAGCTCCAATAAGAATTTCTTCAATATCTGAGGCCTCATTTTTTTCTAGGTCAGAAAACATTTCTTTTACCTGATCGGGCATGAAACTTTTTAATATTTTTTCTACCTTTCTGCGGTCTTTGTCCTCCCTTTTCTGAATTTTATCTGCCATTCGTTTTAGCAGTTCTAACTTCAGTTCATTATAACATTGCATACTTGTAAATCAATTTTTCCTGGCATTAGAGATAGCCCATAATATCAACTTGTTTTGAATATCAGTTGGCTTTTTACAAAGCTGAGCAGTTGTTTTATTTTTGCAAGCACGAAGTTTCGAAGAAAGAAAACAAAGAGTAGCATTAGGAGCTTTGTGCTTTGCAGCGCTAAACATACCCATAAGTTCTTCTGAATCAATGTTGTGAAGCCTAGCTGACTTAGTCTAGTCTTTAAGAAGATCATTAGAACTCATTTTGAACTGACGCATGTACTGCCTGTCAATGACGCTAATAACAGCATTAAGACAGTCACCTAATGAGCTTTACTCATTTCATTAGTTACTGGGCAAAAGCTGATTATTGAATCAAAAACAACATCTTTAAAATCATTACCAAAGAAATCAGTTTTTCGTTTAAGTAGAGATAAGGGATTCTTGCTGCTCTCAATAAGAGTGTTCCTAACATCTTTTACTACCTGAATGCCAGATATGTAGTCAAGTCCTGTACCTGGTGCAATATAAAATTTTGTCATCCAAGGGCCAGAAAGTAGCTTTCCAATTAAAGCTAAAACACACAACTCACGGATACCTAAGGTAAATTAGTTAATAAGTAACAAAAAATAAAATTTGTTTTTATTCTTTGTTAATCATGTGTCTATATAACTATGTTATAAAGATGCATTCTATAACCTATAAATAATAGTGTAAATAATAGTGGTATACCTATTTCAGATGTAAAGTCTTAAACTAACTATTTCGCAGACCTCCACATAAGGCCAAGCCAGAACACAGAAATATCTTCAATATGGCATAATGATGGATCAAAATGCCACATGTGTGAAAAAGTATATGTAGTCTGTTCCCTCTATAGCGTGGTAGCAATCCTCTGGGCAACTCATGTTGGTCCAAAAAGGTTACAAAACCCTTTGGATTGCCTATGAATAACATAAAAAAAGTCATTTTGGGAATTGCAAGGAGAATATGAATTAAAAACATGCAATAATTATAATATTTATATATTTTTAACTTGTAATTTTATTTACAAAACTACACTATATTAAAGTAAAAGAATAGTTTTAAAACTATATAAGTACCTTTAGCATCCTTGAAACGAAGTTTGTTCAGCTGTACAACAATGTTTGCTGCTATGCAGTCTCTTCCAAAAAGTTTCCCTTTTGAATTTCATCCATTTTTTTTCTAAAACATCATCATAATGTTTTAGAAAAAAAATGGATGAAATTTGTTAACAGAAAAGGTCGTCCTTCATATTATTCACAAGTATTACGTTTTGCACTTATCCAAAGATATTCATCATTTCAGGCTTATTCCCTTCTTTTGAAACAACTCCCATTGCCATCAATGTCACTACTAAAGAAGTTAGTTTCTGGTGGAATCGATTCGATAAAATCATTAAAACTGTTATTAAATAAAGGAAAAATAAGCAATTATTGCGCTCTCCTTTTTGATGAAATGTATTTACAGCAATCTTGTGAATACCATAGTGGTAGA